TTAAAGTGTCTTTATGCAGGGAAGTTTTCATGGATTTCGATCCCGTTGCTGTATCGAAACTGAATGAGAAGAAGTTAATAGCACCTGGAGGTACGGCAAGTTCCTTGTTCGGAACTAAAGCTGCGTGCTATTGTTGAGAATGCACACCAAATATCTAAGGTAGATAGATTGATTTGTTGTTCTTATTCGTGCCATCTTTTAACATTGGTTAGCATGAAAATAGTGATCCAAAATCACTTTTAAGCAGCACTTGCCGATAAGAGTATGTGTATCAGATGTACCGTAACAAGAGTTTGCTCTACTAAAGTTGTTTACAGTGCAAGATATTACTATACTAGGACAGCTTTTTGTATTTAATTATTCCTATCTATCACGATGCCAACTTGGTTAGCATGCAAAATCTCAAGTCATCGCTGCTCATCATGAACCAGCTAGTCCTCTTTTGCTGAAGTAAAGTACCATAACTTCACTATCCATAGTGGCTGTGATTATAAATGCAACTAACTTTTTTCAGGTTTTGATGATGCCAGGTTATAGATGAGTTTGGGTCATTGGACTCGTACATTTGGAGTTTTGTGCACCACAAGCCTATCGTTAGCAGATTCAGATATCCTCGACAGGTTCCGGTTAAAACCCCGAAAGCAGATGTCATAAGCAAAGATTTGATAAGAAGGGGTTTTCGAAGTGTGGGGCCTACGGTCATCTACTCTTTCATGCAAGTGGCGGGAATGACGAACGACCATTTCACGAGTTGTTTCAGATTCCAGGACTGTATAAACGCAGCAGAAGGAAAAGAAGTATATGGAACTAAAGATATGCCCGAAGAGAAAAAAACCGATAACATGATTGAATCAGAATTATCCATAGCTATAGATGAATTGAGTTTCTCCCAAGTATGATATTGGCTGCAGGCAGATGACTCTCCAGGTTCGATCATCAGTTTTACTACTTTTGACTGATTCACTGCTTTACTTTTGGATGGTAACTAAGATGGTTTGTGTATAAACTTCATGAATAATCATGCATCCTGAATTTTCCAGATTGTAGATCTAAAGTAAATCAAATTTAACTGATGGATGTGTTGTTGATGGGCCTGTCATATAAGTCCTAAAATATGATATACAATTTTCGTGCCCCTTGTATAGTTAGAAAGGCTAGTAATTTGAGACGATGTTTCACATGCCAAACCCCGGCATCCAGAGCTGCTGACAGCAGGAAACCAGATTCGCCACCAGATCTGTCGCTCTCAGATTCTTGACCATACGGTTAATAAGCGGGATTGTTTGAGTGTGGACCGTTTGTAAGTGTCAACCCTTTAAGTTGTTGGGACAGCTAAACCTACACAGACAACTCTATTTGCTTTAAATGGATGGCAATAATGGTTAGTGTCCTCTAAGCGCGGGGGAGGACACCATCCACAAGGACATGCTTCTGTTGTACTCAATATAGGGCCCTTTTGTTTGTTTCTGTTATTGATATAACAATGTCTTGATGGATGTTGTCTGAAAATGCTTAGAATACTTCCAAACTGTACCTGTTTAGATCCGATGGAAACCTAGATTTTCTTTTTCTTGCAAACATGAGCCCTATAATATCCTTGTCAAGGGATTAGCAATGGCTAATATCAATTCTCATCTCATCAAACCGGACAAACCTGAAGTTTAAGTCGAAGCCTGCTCCTTAATGAATGTATTACAAAAGGATCCAGCTCATGTATCATAAAAGAAAAGGAGAAATGGGGACATGGTTCCAACTAAGGTGACAAAAAGGTTGCCAATCAAATCTATCCATTGTTTCAGCAACTATAATAACCTTGTTCCTACTAGATTGAGTCAGCAAAAATCAGAGGAAATACAAATAAGAAATCAAACCTGGCCATTCATATTTATCGAGACATGCAACACAAAGCTCCATTAAGTTCAGCGTGGCTTGATTCCAAAGCCAATGCTCAGAGAAGCATTCAAGTAGATTCAATTGCCTTGTACTACTGACCACGGGTTGATATAACTAGGCTTTTCCCTCGATCGGTATTTATTTTAGGTGTAGGTTGTTCATAGAAGCAGAGCAGCAAGAGGAGACTTGGATGGCCATGTCATTGCTCAATCGAGAGTCAACATTTCTAGTGGAAAGATCATGATGAGAAAACCATAGTTCGAAGAACTGAAGATGGAGACACATCAATTGACCCAAATATAAATATACCCAAATCTCAATCTAAACCCCAACTCAAATACAAACAGCCCAAACCAAACTACCCAAAACCCAAGGTTTATTATTATTTTTACTTATTAGTGAATTAATAGTATATCTCCCGTAATCATTATTAGGGGTGACTACTGGTGATTCCGAAGTAAGTCGACATCCTTTTCAAAACCGCATCATGATTTTTAAAATTAAGGCAATGTCCGGTTATTAGGCACAATAGTTGATCTCACGCATTTACGCTTGAGAGCGAACGCTATCGGTCTCAATAAACGAATGCCCTTTTCAACTTTGCATCCGTAATGATTTTTAAATTAAATAAAGACCGAACTCAAATTATCGATTTTAATATAGGATAACCAACTAGGTATCAATTTTGAACGCTTGTGGGTGCTAATCTTTCCCTACGAGTAACTGACTCCCGAACCCGATTTCTGGATTTTCGCAGACCTTGAACTTTGTATTTTTACAAAAATAAATGTTTTTATTAAAATCACCCAGTTTTTATGGTGACACGATCGCACCTTAAATGATTAGTGACGATTCCTCACATTTAGAAGATTCCTTTCAAAGAGAAAATCTCCGAATCAGTATCAATCTTTTCCCCGCCCGACAAAATATGGTATCCACACAAATCGACACTGTAAAGAAATAAAATTGAATTATCTTATAATATATTATTATAATATTTAATTTACATTAATTAATCAATAAATTAAGTATTATTTATATAAAATATTATTTTAATCACCTTTATTTTAAGTTTTGAAGCATAAATTTCATCATACATACAATGAATTTTATTACTTTGATAAATTAAATACAATACATATACGTGAAAAGAGGAGACGGATAAGCTTTTTAAACATTATAAAAACCATATACATCGAACTCTCTAAGATTTGCTTTCTTATATGGGTTAATTACACCAATCTTCTCTAAATTTTATTCTCTTTTATTTAACCAATCATCACTCAACTTTATTCTCTTTTATTTAACTAATGTACTTTATATCCATTCAAATTTTCTCACTGAATTGAATATAATTAACATTTTTAATCACTCAACTGCTATAATCATTTTAGAAAATAAAATTTTCACCAAAACAATATTATTTTACATCCATATAACACTCATTTATAGCACTGTTTACTGAAAAACGATCGAGTGATAAAAATATTAATTGTGTTAAATTTAATAAAGAAATTGAACGAATTTAATGATGATGGGTGTTTTTTATCCTTCTTATATTGATTATTACATTTAATGTACAAGTTATTATAAACAATAATTAGATGATCCTATTCTCATATGTTATGGGATAAAAAAGGTAGATAATAGGCTGTCCCCAACGCTAGGTTGAGAACAACTTCCGTGGGAGACATCCGGCAGTCAGAATTATGAATTCCCACCGTGAGACTCGATTCCACGACCACAAGGTTAAGAGTCTTGCGCTCTTACCAACTGAATTGGACTGACAATTCTTATTATAACAATAATTGAACAATAATTGAACCCTTTAAATAAATATTGACATAAATCTGATTATTTTGTTTTAAAGACCGATATTTAATCTATTGATTAAACAATCTAGATCAGCTACTATTAAGATCTATTACACAACGATCCTCTCATTCATTTACTTCACTCACAACATAAAGATTCAAATCTTACCTTAATTGAGAACTCAATGATCATCAATTATTCTATATTATAAGTGAATCAATTTTAAAATTAACTTTGATATCGAATGAAACTCGAGTTTTAAAAATTCGATCCGAATTTCAAAACCAAATTTTAAACAAGCAAACTCAAACTGGCATCAACTATTTAAAGAGCAATAAATTCTCAAGCATACTTAAGAAAATTGTTGCATGCTTAAGAAACACCGAGCAGATGACATTGGGACAACCTCAAAAATAGAAATTCTCAAACATATTTGTCCGTCGTCTACCATCGAAAATCCAGAAAAATAACACTGATTTACCGAAGAAACCGTCCTCCAATCGCTTAATCCTTCTGCAGCTGAACAACTTCCACGGCCTCATGTTGTTCACCATAATCCTGCAGTAAAAAAGAGAACAATGATGTTATAGACTGGATTTTTGTAGAGAAGAATGTCGAAAGAAATAGGTTTTAGAAGAAGAATTGAGAGATTACAGAAAGAAGTTTGCATCATTCATTTCCTAGAAGATTTTTACAATCAAGCCTAGTATTATTAATTACATGAGCCATAGAATTCCTGCTAGCTGTCCAGTGTCATAACAACTATCTAACAGAATGATTCTTCTCTCTATTCTTTCTCAGATACTGGGCCTTCGTGTTTGGGCTGCTCCATCACGCCATTATCCTTCCAGGCCTGCTCCTCTGCTGTGGTAAGTTTCTTGTGCATCTCACGTGATTTAATTCCCCATCCCTATCTTCAATCCTAACCCTCGATCCCCATTTCCCAATTGTTCCTGCTTCCTCGTCTCTCTTCTTCGATGCTTCCTCTTCTCTCTTCTTCTCCAACCATAACAATACCCATCCCTTGAGACGAGCCTTGTCCCCAAGGATCGAACGCAGGAAACTGGCCTTTGAGAGTCGTATAATCCTCCCAAGTATTTTTCTTCAGTCAGATTCTCCCACGAACCAAAAGCTGAGTGACAGGTTTTCCCTTTCGATTTACGATTCGTCTGCCATAATCTTCAAGGGTTGATTTGTAACCCTCCCTCTTCATCTACTGTAGGAGGTTCAGTGACACAATCAATGAATCACCGATGCACAAGGGGCAAGGCTGTGTTGATATCCATCGGCTCACCCAGAGCGGGCGCTGCCTCGGTTGAGCAACGGCAACTTCTTCCCTGCAAGAAGCAACCGGCACGAATACCACATAAATACATACAAACTGACAAAAGGGATCAAAATAAAGATGAAATCTTTAAGAGAAAGAACAATCTCGAAACAGGAAACATTCAAGCAATCCATATTAACAGGCAACAGTGAAGCAAACTAAACCCAGAGGTCTACATAATGAAAATGCAAGCAGCTTGAATTAATATGGAGAAATCAAAACAACCACAACAACAAGATCAAATTCTTCAGGCATGCCACAGTAAAGGAATGAATTTCACTTACCCTGACATTTTTTTGAGCTGAAGTTGGAACCGGATGTACTGTTTCCTGTTAGCACAAGGAGAAAAACGAAAACAGTGTTAGAAAATGGATCTTTTAGCTAATCTATACTGAAAGCAAAGAAAAAGAACATGAAGAGCGCGAACCCTGGGGAGATAATCTGCAGCAGATGGTTGGCGGAGGGTTTAGCGAAGTGAAGGACTTTATAAACGCAGCCCTATTTTTCAATACTTTAGTGGGTCGCTTGGGCTTATATTCTTCTTCTTTTGTTTGGGTTTATAAAGCCCAGTTCGGTTGAAGTTGTTAAAGCTGAATTTAGCGCAGACCATCTACATTCTCAAAGACTCGAGCGCCGTCGGGTGGCGGGAAAATCTTTCGAAGAGGAGAATAAACTGTCAATTTTCTTCCATTTCTCTCAGAGGTAACTTTCTATCAAGATTGCTAATTTTGGTTGGATTGGTTTCTGTAGAGTTTAGTTCTGTGCATTGAACATAAAAGTTCATCTTCTTTAATCAAACTCGGCAGCCTTGTGCTCTTGTCCATGGCAAACATGTCTGTTTGTCTCTGTCATTAAAGATTGGATTCTTCATACTTATTTTTAGTATGGGTAGTTGTTTTTCTGGCCTGGGTTAGTGTTGATTTCAGTTTTCAATACATTTTCACTAGTTCCATAATGGAAAAGGGATTGCCTTTTAAGTGTTTGATGCTTTTCCTTAATGAATTCAAAACTCCGTGTACCTTTGTTTTTCGTCTTGTAGGCAGTCTCAAGATAGAGATGAGAAACAAAAATTTTGGCGTTTTCATTTTCTCTTTTGTACTGTTCTTTAGCAAATCGATTATGTTTTATATGAAAATCATGGTATTTGGGTTGTGTTGCTAAAGTTCATACGCTTTGCAGGTCGATTGCAACATTCCTGAATCCGGGGATAATATTCTCCTTCAACTTCAATGGCTCTGCGGAAGCCCCCACTCCCTAGAATTCTTCTAGACAACGTCTCTTGCATGAGAAATGCGCAACAAATATTGCGACACGTCAATGTCTCGGTTCATGATGGTGGAGCACTCGTGTTGACAGGCAGCAATGGCTCCGGCAAGACTACTTTCCTGCGAATGTTAGCGGGGTTCTCTAAACCTTCAGCTGGTCAGATTCTTTGGAACGGCCATGACATTACCCAATCAGGCATATTCCACCAATACAAGCTTCAACTGAATTGGCTTTCCCTCAAGGATGCGGTGAAAGAAAAGTTCACAGTCCTTGACAATGTTCAATGGTTTGAGGTTCTTGAAGGTAAGCACGGCAAGTCCTGCCTGCCCTGGAACTCATGGGCCTAGGAAGACTGGCAAAAGATAAGGCAAGAATGCTTTCAATGGGGCAACGAAAGAGGCTGCAGCTTGCTAGGTTGCTTGCCATCGATAGGCCGATTTGGCTACTAGATGAGCCTTCAGTCGCACTAGATGAGGAAGGGGTAAGGTTGCTAGAATACATTATCGCAGAGCTCGAAAGAAAGGTGGGATTGTTATTGTTGCAACTCATCTCCCTATTCAGATTGAAGATGCCTTGAATTTGAGGTTGCCACCTAGGTTCCCCAGAAGAATGACTTTGGTAGACATGCTTGATCGTGCAGATATTGCATGAATCAGGCAACGTAAAGCTACATCGGTTGATATGTTCAACCATCACTCATCTCATCGTCACTCAAATTTGGCTGGTTGTCATATCTTTGAGAAAGCTTTAGCCATTAAAGCTACACATGTGCATCCTTAATGTCCATTCATGGAACTGCCAACAAGTCTTGATGCTCGCATATATATATGGTGTGTTCGAATAACATTTTATAGTTTCGAGTTGTGACAAAATGGCTCAAATAAGATTTCTACTAGATACTCTCTTTTCTGTAGTAAAATAGTGCAAAACATCAACTGATATTATGGAGGGTGAAACATAAGTTTCAATTTTTTATGATTCCATTTTTCTCTGGTTATGTAGATTAGAGCTTTATTTAACATTTAGTTGGCAGTCTAGGGGTGTGCAAATCCGGGTACCGGATATTCGGGTAATTGATTTCTCCTAACCCGGATGTTGTGGGTACTCGGTAATCGGGTAACCGAGTTTTTTTTAATTATTAATTAAAAAACACACAAATTTAAATGTTCGAAACTTCGAATTACATAGTCCAACATGTAAATATAATTAAAAAATGTCATGTTAGCATCATTGTTTATTTTTAAATATGGGTGATCAAAACAAAACAAAACAAAATTAAAACGTAATGTTAGATATAATTTTGAAATAATAATAATAATAATAATAATAATCGAGTGATCAAAACATAAATTAGATAATATATAAGTGACCAAATAAGTAGTTTACACTAAATAAAAATATATATATGAGTTATATTAGATAATATATAAGTGACCAAATAGGTAGTTTACCCTAAATAATAATCAAGTGACCAAAACATAAATTAAATAATATATATGTTACCAAATAGGTAGTTTACCCTAAATAATAATCGAGTGACCAAAATATAGATTAGATAATATATAAGTGACCAAATAGGTAGTTTACCCTAAAAAAATTCCTAACCAGATACTCGAGTAATCGTGTACCCTAAAAAATTCAATTTTGTGACCCGAGCTTGACTCGAGAAATGTTGGGTCGGGTACTCGACTCGGCCAGGTAATTTTTTTTAAGAAAATTATCCGGTTTTTTTATGTTAGGGTCGACGGAAAAAATTACCCAATTTTTAAGTTCGGGTCGATGGACCGGATCAACCGGATCGGGTATTTTTACACCCCTAATTGGAACAACTAAGTTTTTCAAGGTTTTTTGGTTTTCGCCGTTAGAATTCATAATTCCTCAATCCCTTAAAATAGAAGGTTAATGCACTTAAAATAGGCTTGAACTCACAGCCTTTAACAACAATACTAATCGAATTAAGATTCAGTCAGTACTAACCGGTTTTTTTTCCAATGAACATGAAAGAGGGAAGTCTAATAGGGTATGGGCTTTTAAATGACTAAAGTACCACTCTTTAATCCTTATTGGCCCTTCACCCATTATTAAAGGCAAAGGTAAGCAGACGAATGCAGGTGTGCAAAAGCTCCCTCATTAGTTTAAGAATGAGGCTTTGCTCTCAAGGAGGTGGCTGGTTTTCTAAAGGGTGGTTGCTCCCCTCCTCTGATTGATAAGCGAAGCCTATGATTTCACTTTCACTTACAGATGTTTATCTACAACAACCCTTTGTCTTTCTCTGTCTCTGTACTCTAGTACATCCGATTCACAATCTCCATCATCATCATCATCATCGCTTCAGCATCTCGCTTTGCTAATATTGTTTCTTCTTCTTCTTCTTCATCATGATCATTCAAAACCGCCGACGCAATGAGGCAATGATGATTTTTTATTATTAAAGTTCAGACTTTTGAAGGGAAAAGGCCGTAGTTTGGCGGGGCAACTCCTTTTTGTTGCAGCCACCGGCTTTGTTTCTTTACTTGTCTGACAAAAGGCGAATCTGAGCCTCCCCTCCCTCATTTTCTAATCTTTTTCCTCCAGGTTTTGTGCTTGGTTGAGTTCTTTCCTTTCTGGGAAAAATACCCAGTATCATATCTTAATGGGAGTCTTAATTATAATCTTATTTTCATTTGGAAGTTGAAAATCTGATGGTGAAATCAGTATGATTCTGGATCCAGTTTGTGCTGTTCTACTTATGTAAGGGTGAGATGGAGAGTAATACTAGACCAGAACTGATTCCTGGTGGTTGTCAAAATTTGATTTTGATTAGTTATATTAGATTGAAGTTAAGGAATACCCCATGTGGAAAATGTGGGATCTTGATCAGCCATTGTTGCTAATCTTGCATTTTGAGGTTGTAGCTTTGTTAAGTATACTGTCTTACCGTAGTTTTCATATATTGCCAAGTTGTGTTTATATTTGATTCTATTTGTTCTGAGATTCATATTTCCTCCATTTGAGATATTGATTTATAGCTTCTGACGATTTTAGAGGTGTCAATCTGCTTTGTTATTGACACGCAACAAAGATGTTGTCAAGTAAACCAAAATTTAATTCTGTTTCTGCTTGTTTAATCATATTCTGTGTTCAGGATTTTGAGGCACTCGGTTTGTTGTAGTTGCTAATTGGTTATGGAACTGATCTCTTTGTGTGCCCAAATGACTATTTCTTATACATGCCCGAAGGAACTATGTTTCCCTTTGTAGTGATTTGGTCTTCTCATAGAAAGATGTATTTTGTGTACTTGTCTTGTGTAGAATAAGGAACCATGTGATTTTATTGAAATCAAGAATGATTCAGGGTTATGTTCATGAGTCTATGAATCAAGATCCTATAGTTGATCATCGAGTAATCAGAGTGCTGCTGAACCATTGTTCTTGCATTATTTAACAATAGTCCAGATTATGAAATATATTTGTAACTGATAAGGAACTTACTTGTAGTTGATTATATAGTTCGTCTAGTTCACACTCGTTGTCATCTGTGAATAACTTATTTATATCTTTGTGCTCTTTTTTAATCTTTCACAGGGTTGGAATCTCTGATCACAGTTTAGAAGTCATTTGTCAACTCAGATAGATCTTATGATTTGTTTCTTTATGTTCATCCTTTTAATTAATTGAACTTTGCCTTTATTCATGTGGTGAAACATGACCATGTTCATGTTATGGATTATGATGAACACAGATTGTGGAAGCAATGAACTGGTCTCAAGCGAGAGTCGAGAAGCAATTTGTGGAACTTCTGACACATGAACATCACCTTTTCTGGAGAGAAAGGGTGGCTTACCGGTACCAAAGGGAGGCAGACAAATGTATTGTGGCCAGTGAATCTGTTAAGAGGGGCAGGTGACCGAGTGGAGGCCTTGCCGAGCAAACAACTTTGTAAATGTTGATAGTTTTTACAAAGACTAACTTTTGTAAAGTTAAATTTGAAACCTGGGCGAACTAGTATATATATATCTTCAGGGATAGACTTTTTACACCATAATGTTCAAAGAGGATCTGGATTCTGGATCCAACAATGAACAAATACATAATCTGATATCCATCATTTTGCAATCTCAGGGAAACAGATTGAGCTGTAAAATGTACTTTTTTTTTAGTTTGGATTCTTTCTCCAAGATCACATCTTTTTTTCTTTCAAGTATGTTGCTTTCAAACCAAACAAGAGATCAGATGAGAAACAGGACAATCCTTAAAAGTGAACTTCCTCGGCTGAATTAGGGTAATGTTCATGTCTATGAATCAGGATCATATGATCATTGGATATTTAAAACCATTGTTCTTGGCTGTTATTTCTTCAAAACTGTCTGCAACATGAATATTTGCTACCAATCAAGGAATGACAGTTGAATTTGGGATATCTTGTGTTTTAACAATATTAGCATGTAATAATGAGCTTGCACGCAGAGCTGCAGCTTACCGTGCTGTCGTTTCCTTCTTTTATGCGATCTGGCTATTACGCAGGCGATCGTGAAAAATCTTCCTCGGTTGTTCATGTGTTTGGTACTCAGAACTTCCAGCCATCTATGCGAATAACCTAGTTATCACTTTGTGCTTTTGTTATTCCTTTGCAGGGTGGCTAATCTCTCAGAGAAAATTAGAAGCTGATTTTGTCAACATGAATGTTAATGGAATATGAACACTGATTGTGGATGCAATGACGCTGCTTTGTGTTCCGTCCATGTTATTTTTCGGTACCATGTATTTATGTTATAAAATGATTCTAAGTTCTATATCTTTTCCGATATTTCCTAGGGATTCATCAGAGAAAGCTGATCATCACAAGTGAAGATTTGGCCAAATTTATGCCATGTATTTTGCTCCATTTGTATTGCCATTCTGTATACGCACAGTGCACAAGAACCAGCTTAATCCGCATGTTTTCCCATTTTCTTTCATCTAAGTTGGTTTACATTGATCAACTTGGTGAGTGTATGAAATCCAACCAATAAGTTTGTGTATAACTTCAGGATATACTTCCTACCCGACAAATGTTCGGAACAGGGTCCGGACTCGGGATCAAGCAAACTACATATCTGCAAAATGTACCATGAGTCACCGCCTATCAAGGGGATCGATTCTTGGGACGATGTAACAGCCCTTTTCATGTGGCTACCCTTTTCTTGAATCTCAAGCATTTGTTATGTTTCGATTCCGTATACTGGGGTTAGCATTATTTGTTCTGATCTTTTGGCCCAATCATCTCCATCGCGTTTATGAAGTTGTTTAGGTGTTGGTGTACTCCGGATACGATTCTAGGTTCAATGGCCGCCGCCCTTGACCCATATGGCTCGTACTTTTCCTGGGAAAGTTCCCATAATTGCTTCCCATGTGACCAGTCAACTGTTTCGTCATTCGTACCCTGCAACGTTGATCGACATGGCATGAGAATCAACTTGGAGGAATATGCAAACGGATGCAATAATAATCTGAAGGAAGATATGCTTACATGCATAACTAGAACCGGACAAGTTACCCGTCGGATTTTGTCGATATTCTGCAAAATTTAGACAAAGCTTCCTCAATGTGTATCACGTAACAGGATTGAAGAACCAAAATCAAAACTTACTTAAATATATCAAACCAAAATGTCATCTTACAGGATACAAGACTCGTATGCCGGAGAGGATGGCGCTATGGAGAATGACTCCTCGAAGTTTCGGTAAATGAGAAGCCAAGTGGAGAGTTGGTCCGCTTCCGACGGATTGACCCTAAAGAATCAAATCCTCCTGCTTAACCCCATATTCCTTCTGCAAACAATTGTACACTGTCTCTATGTCATAGTATGTGTTGAGCTCGGTTGGCTATTGCAATTGAAGAAAAAAAAAAAGCAAACTTATCAGGTATCAGAATGTATTCACAATCGGTTTGGTGAAATAAAAGTAAAATGCAAAAGTATATACATTCATCTACCTTGCCTGTTGATGCTCCATAGCCTGAATAATCATAACTGCAGCAACAAAAACCAAAATTTCAAAGCCTATATGATCACAGCAAAGTGAAAACCATTTTAGCTAAGATTTGATGAGAAAACTGTTCAAATTCAGCCAGAAAAACCAATTTTAAGATACATGGATCAATGCAGGAGGAACAACGGGGTTGAAGCTGTTCCACAAAAGCTCAGCCGAAAACCATTAGATGGCATACATATAGGCCTTGTTTCAAGGATTGTACACCTAAATGAGATCCGACCCGACCCAACTCTAGACCGAAAAATAACATTGGGAGCAATGGTTCCCAAATATGCATACACTAAGACATTACAGGACTTGCATGAAAAACCAGAAACAACACCAGAAAACTGAAAAAAAATCAATAATTTCATCAAGGATTCATGATAAAAATCCAAAGAAGGAGATCGTACCTCATGATATTGACACGAAAATGGCTCTGAGTTCATAAAAGAGTTCATGCATGTCCTATGTCAGCAGCATTGGCATGGGAATACAAGAGGTGAACCTGGAAAATGGGTGTCTCCAAAACGTGGCCACGATTATTACCACCTTTGGTATCGAGCAAATGAACATCCATGTTCTTGTCGGCCGTCACCCCGGCACAACCAGCTTCCCATTTTCTTCCCTTTAAACTTCGTACGTCGGCGGGTCTGGTGGGAAAAATGCAAGCTTTGCAGCCACATTCGACGTTACGTTCCCCATTCTTTTTTCTTTACTGCGTAAACCAAACCATCAAGAGAAAAAGGAGAAGAAAAAAACACATGCCGTGAACAGTTTGCAGAAGAAGCTCTTTTCTTTTTGGTCCCCCCCTTTTTTCTTTTGTTTTTTCTTCCAATGCTTTGGCTTAAAAGGTGTGGGTTTTTTGGTTATGTTTTCTTGGAATTTCTTTTGGTTTTGAAATTTTCTGTTAGTGGAGTGCTTTGTGGGTGTTGTGAATTTGTGGTGGTGTTTTCCCTTCAAATTATGTTGCAACTCTTTGAAGCTTTAATGTTATTATTATTTTTTTATATAAACTTTTATACATTTTTGGATTTTTATATTAGGTTTAAGGGTTAATTTACTCCTGTAGTAGATTTTATTTTATTTTTTATCATAGCATCAATTAACCCTCAAAGTTATTTAATTATATCATTTTATATCTTGTTTATAACTTAAAATCCTAAAATATAAATCTTGAGTTGGGGTTTATGATTCATGGTTTATGGTTTACAGGCCACGGGCTTGTCGTTTAGGGATTAGGGTTTTAAGTTAGGGGTAGGGTATCGAATGATACTATTAAGCAAATTCGAAGACTAAATTGATGCAAAACAATAGGGACGAAAGTGATAAATTAGGTCTACTACAGGGGTAAAAGTTATCATTTTGCCTTTATATTTTTTTATTAACTAAGGTGATAACAAAGTATATATGTTCTAAATATTATCATCATGTGAAAACTCTCAATCACCTTGTTGATACTCAATCACACTTTTACCTTTTAATTATTATCATTGAATAATAATAGATTTAGTTTAATTAATAAATTTCTTATTAATCACGTACATACTCATTAACTATTACAGCTACAATTATTCGAACTTAGAATTACATAAAAAAACAATTGTTTCCTTAATCATTAAACCACTCAATAAATTTTAATAAAGTAAATTAAAATTATAAATTTGTAAAATATAATTATTAAAAACCCAAGTCAAAGTGTATATGCTACATAGATAAATAACTGAATTGACCTTACTATATTATCTTACACTTAGAATAACTGAATGTATTTAATCAAGTCATAAGTAAATAAGATATTCAATAAATTATGTCTAAAAATATTATCAATAAATCGGTTGTAATAGATTAAGTAGGCTATCAATTAAAAGGGTAAAAATATATAAATGGTCCCCCGACTATAGGATACTATTTTATTAAGTCCTTTAACTATTGAAAGTTACAAAATGATCATCTGCCTATAGAGTATTGCTTTGTTTAGTCTCTCGACTATTAAAAGTTACAAAATGGTCATCAGACTATTCATTTTGTTCCAAACTTATCATTTTCTTATTAAAAAACTGATGGTATTCTGAGTTGAATGTTAACCTGTTGACTATGATTGATAAAATTTAGGGTAAACTACTTCAATACACTCACCTAAGCGCGGGGTCGAAAATGCCACTGACGTTTCAATTTTGCCAATTTTAACACTGACAATTATGTTTAACTATAATTTTGCCACTCTTAATCTATTAACGACACGATGACATGACATCTCTATGTCGTGAAAGTGATGATGTGGCTCTCTCATCAAAATGAGGTCGTTTTGGTGCTCGAAAAACCCTAAACGACATCATTTATTAAGTTATTTGATGAAAAAAGTTTCCACGAGATTTGAACTAAAGACCTCCACGAACCAATACTTAACACCCAACCACCAAACTAACTTAAGAAATTGTTATTTTCTTAACAAAATAATATATATGTTAAATACTAGTTGTATACCTTCATCTTCCTCGTCAATCCAAATCCATATATGCCAATCAACTGCTCGACGAAATGCCAAGCTTGAGATTATTGAATTGGGTTCCAAGTTCAACACCCAATCTTTAATGACTTTTATACTTTTCAATGCATTTGAGTCAATGCTAATTAAGAGAGAATGTAGGTTGAGAAAAGGAATCAAAAGTAGATTACAAGAATGAAATTTAGAAGCTTGTAAACCCATAATTTCATTCCTTCATTATGTCTTCTTCCTCGCCATTAAACCAGAGTTTCCATCGAACAATTCTTCAATGTAGCCTCTATCTCATCAGGCTGGAACTTTATGTACTTCTCCATTATCTTCTGGGATCCGAGTACCCAAAAAACCTTGCTAAGAACATTGGTAGCCGGAATCACTATCGTATCGAAACCCTAAGTTCCAATTGCAGATGTTTATCGTTCACCACCCACGAGCTTTGAGTTTCGTGGATCTCATCGAACATGGCGTTGAAGCTCTTGAACCTCTCTTTCAGCATCGATTTCACCATTTTTCTATTCACGTTCAATCCTCCACATTTAAACAACCTAAAATCTTCATCCATGTCTCTCTTGTACGTGTTGTGTAATTATGGAGCTACGACGATGTTTTACGACACCATGTGTGTTGGAAATATATACTGCAAAAGAAGACGTTAGCACTCACAGGACAATATAAAATATAATGAACAACTGAAATCATATTGGGGTGAATATCACTGTCTTAAAAACAAATTCTCCCCGATGTGTGTAATCATTGCAACAAGAAGATCGTCCCCCGAGGTTAACACTGTCACTCTGAGAATTCGTCTAATTGAAACCATAGTGGACTGTCAGTGATACTGTTCTTCTGACAACATTAGAGAAAAGAAGCTTGAAACGCTTTAGATTGAGAATATATGTGAGAGTTGAGAGAGTGAGTTGAGAAACTTAGAAAACCTCTTTGTTTATAGGCTTAGTTCAAGGGTAAATTTGTCCAAAAAATCATATATAAATCAGATTAATTTCGAAATTAAACTTTGTCTGAAACTGTTGTTATAAATGAATGAATATGGCGTGAAAGCAGTCCAGATTCGTGCTTTAATTTCCAACTATTTATAACTCTTGTAATTAACTATTGTAATTACTTTGTAATTGGCACAATAAACACTCTGAATAGAGCTGAAATATTGTCCATATATATCCAACGTTTCACAGACATAATTTCACAAACTGACTGTTTAGATTTTGAATTTTCAAAAATCAAATGACAGCTAATTAATCAGTCGTTACCCTATGAAATTTAAATCGAACCAAGACAATTAGCAGCCTATAAATTCTTTCACAATCTTTTTTATGCTCAAGAAAATTCTTTCACAATCTCCGAAAAGATAGAATCCGCGCGGATTTATCGAAGACACGTATTGTCACGAGATGAGAAGGACAACAATGGCAGGGGCATGCGAGATTGTCCCTTGTTCTCTATCACTCACAATGAAGAAAGAATGAACACTATAAATACCCAATCTCTGTGGTATTTCCCACTAATGTGGGATAGGTTTTACGCATTACCGACAATGTATCTCTCATTACTTGGTGAAGCTGCCAAGGCTTTGATCTTCTGCAACATGTAACTCCCGTTGATGAGAAGAAAGGTATACAACTAGTATTAACATAATGTCAGTTTTGTTAATATAATAACAACTTCTTAAGTTAGTTTGATAGTTGAGTGTTAAGTATTGGTTCATAAATGTCTTTGGTTTGAATCTCATGAAAACCATTTTCATCAAATAACTCTAATAAAACGAGGTCATTTTGTGTTTTTTGAGCATTAAAGCAGTTTCACCAAAACGACGTCATTTTGATGATGGAGCCACATCATCACCGTCACGGTATAGAGATGTCATGTCATGGTACCATTAATGGATTAACGACAGAGTGGCAAAATTATAGTTAATATAAAAGTTAGTGTTAAAATTGAAACATCAATGACATTTTCGATCCCACACTTAAAGGTGAGTGATATTTAAAGTAGTTTACCATAAAATTTAATCCTAGAATCTCAAATGATTATCATATCAACACTATCATGTTAGCGTTCAACTCATAACACCATCAATTTTTAAACCAAAAACGACGAGTTTGGAACATAATTAATAGTCGAGTGATCATTTTGTAATTTTTATTATTTGAGGGACTTAACAAAGCAACATTCTATAGTCAAAGGACTATTTTATAACTTTTGATAGTTGAGTGACTTAATAATGCAATATCTTATAGTAAAGGGACCATTTTTGTACTTAACCCTAATTAAAAATTACATAGTCAAATTAGAATTTAAATATAAAAGATAAAAAAATTATATATAGGTTAATTATTTCGCGATTTGAATTAACATCAAATTAATTTTTTGGACCTTGGACCCATCCATCTTTAAATATTATCCAATTTCACCAAATGAAACGTAAACGGCCGAACCACGTTGCAGTCCAAAATCATTTGGAGCCCAGATTATTTCCCGCCCAAACACTCTAATCACCGTAAATCTGAATAATAATCCAGTAAAAATCGGTATTTTCACAGAAAATAATATCTTTCACCGTCCTTTTGATTGCTGCAAATCTCTGTCTTCCATGGCGTCTCAAAAACTAACAGAGCATGAAAGTAAAAGACTTGAAATGCAGAGATGGTGGCCGCTCTCAATATACATTCAAAAGCCGCCACTGTTGTTTTTCTAGTCTATTTATGTCACAATTATTTCATGTAAAAAACAACTGCATTTCAGAACGAAAACGCATAAAGCGAGTAAGGTGAAGAGTCCCTCGACGGAGAACCCAGCCATAACTCGAGTCACTGAGACCGAGAGGTATGCAACAGGATTCGACCGATGACTTGCTAAAACCTATTAGTATGATTGATGCTTATAGGGGACTCGAATCTGAGTATAATCTAGTGCTGATTGACGCGATTTTGAGTATTGCCGAAGAAACCCAATCTGAGTTTTCGGATGAGGAAGAGTTTGATGGTGTCAAGGGCATTAAAGATGAGAATTTAGTGAGAAAGGAACTTGGAATCACCAGTTAAGGCAGAGATCGTTAAAGAGGATTCTGATGAACATTTGGGTGGTTTGGTTAAGATTGAGAAGAGTGACTCCTTGCTGGAATCAATGGATTTCGAGCCAGAGACTGTAGCATCGATGTCCCCTGGAAGGATTATGATGATTAAGTTCTTCCCTTCCGGTAGTACGACGATGATCGCGGCCGGTAACAAGTTCGGGGATATTGCATTTTGGAATGTGGACTGTGGGGATGAAACAGAAGTCGGTGTATATGTTTATCGCCCGCATGCAGGTCCTATTTCTGGGATTTAGATTCAACAGTATTCGACGTCGAAGGTAATTTCGGTCTCGAACTTTATGTGTTGCATCAATGTTTCACAATCTATTCAAGGGAATGCTTGTTTATTGTTTTTTGTTTTCAGATTTATACCGGTGGCTATGATGGAGTTGTTCGATTGATGGATGCGGCGAAGGAAGTATTTGATCCGGTGCATTCGTGCGAAGATGCTATTTATTACCTTTCTCAACAGCCTAATACTCCGGCAAGCTTGTATTTCTCCAAGGGTCATGGCGGATTAAACGTCTGGGATACTAGGACCGGGAAGTCCCGCAATGACCGGATGCTCCACACAGATAGGATAAACACCATAAGCTTCAACTCACATGATCCCAACACATTATGGCAATCGGTTCAGCAGATGGAACTGCTTGCATCTGGGATTTAAGGAGTACGAGCCCTCGAAAACACCTTGAAGACCGTGACGCACGGTGAGGCTGTTGAGTCTGCTTACTTCTCATCCTCTGGAAGCTCTCTTGCAACAACAGGGGTATTAAGGACTTCATCTTATGTCATATTTTGCAACAACAAAAAGATGAACCTAAATTTCAGGTAGGCTTTTGCCTGTCTTTTAAGAACTTCTATGCTCTTCTCAAATAGTCTGCTTGATGTTATACGCATATATTTGTAAGCAGAGGAATCTGGGGTTGGGATGATTCATAAATCTTCATCGACAACGTGACGAAAGGCGTCGATGTCATCTCTCCGACACAAAGAAAGAAGAACTGTTATGACTTTACCGAGTCCGAAAGCGTCTGCAATTCCCTACAGATTCGAAAAAACACCCGTACGAAGTCAGGATGTTAGCAGGAGCCACCGCAGGGTGTCAAGTTTGTCTTTGGACACCATCAATGGATGTATCTGATCAATGAAGGAATCTGTGCTTTGCACTTGCTAGCAAGTGTTTTGGTTACATGCCCTGTATTCAAATTTTGAGTATGAACAAGCAGATATCAGATTATCGCTACTTATGTTCTTTCAATTTTGCTGCTCAGTTAATATATATTATTTTATAATTATTTTAACATATTCAAATATAATATATATATTGTACGAACCGAGTGACTTCAGTGGTAAAAAGTTATTGTTATTCCTAGAGGTTTCAGATTCGAGCATCGTAAATATTACTAGTGTGCGTTAAATCTCAAATGGTTAAGAATTATCTTTGAAAATATATTACTTTATATTTATCTCATATTAATAAAAAAATACAATATATATTAATTCAATAAATATTATTATTAATGAATTGTTTAGGAGATTGTGATTTAAAATATATTTGAATACATTTTCCTTCTATTTAAAGGTAGTTCTATAATTAATGAATTATTTAGGAGATTGTGATTCAAAATATATTTGAATACATTTTTCTTCTATTTAAAGGTAGTTCACCAAATAAGAATAAAAGTAAATTACACATTTAATAATTAAACCATTAATTTTCTTCAATTTTTATTTCATTTTAATAACACCCGTTAAAAATATAATCTATTTAGTACTTAAACTATTAGTTTTAGTACTTAATTTTTTTTTAAAAATCAAAATTTATCGATAATTTTTTAACGAGAACTAAAATAAAAAAAATAAATTTTAAATATGATTTTGAAAAAAATAAAAATTTAGATATTAAAATGGACCAGAATTAATATATAATTACCTTAAAAATAAACGGCCAGACACCTTCCACGTAGCACTACAAAATCTTTTGCCGCCAAGATTATTTCCCGCCCAAACCCTCCAATCACCATAAACCATAAATGTAAATAGTGATTTAAAAATCGAAATCCCCACAAAAAAGAGGGGAAAAAAAGAAGCACCCTTCTAGTCTCTTCTTCACTGCTGCAAATAATTGTCTTCCATGGCGTCTCAGAATCTAACTGAGTATGAACGCAAAAGACTTGAAAACATTAAGAGAAATGAAGAGATGGTGGCCGCACTCAAGATACACTCGAAGGCCGCCACTCTCTCCGCCGATACCAAGCGCCAAAGGTAACATAGATCCATCTTTTTTTAAATTATTTTTGTCTCAATGATTTGATGTTTAGATTTTTAGTTTTTTTTTTTATTTTTTATAAATGGTTGTATTGTAGAAAAACATATAAAGTGAGTCCAGTGAAGAAACCCAAGACAGAGACCCCGATCGTAATTCGACGGTCGTTGAGAACAAGAGGTATGCCACCGGATTCAAATGGTTTGCCTGATGATTTCAGTGAAAATTTCGATAAAACCCCTAAATCTGTCAGCCCTTTAAAGCCACAATCGCCTCGTGTTTCGGGTCCTATCAGTATGAAAGATGCTTTCAGTGGAGACGAAGTAGAGTCTAATCACGTGTTTGTTGGGACAATTTTAAGTATTGCTAGGAAACCCTAGACAATGTTTCGAGTAAAGAAGAGTTTAATGGTGTTAAGGATATTCAAGACGAGAATTTTAGTGAGAAGAGAACATTGGGTTCCTGCAAAAGTGAGGCTTTTGAATCACCGGTTAAAGAAGAGTTAGATGAGAATTTCAGTGGAGAAAGAAAGTCCGCCAAGTGCCTGGTTAAAAACGAGCATTTGGATGGTTTAGTTAAGATTGAGAAGAGAGATCCATGGTTGGAATCATTGGATTTGAAACCTGAAAACGTCGCACGAATTATGCCTGGAAGGATTATGGTGGTTAAGTTTTTCCCTAGCAGCAGCATGAGGATGGTTGCCGCTGGGAACAAATTTGGGAATATTGCATTTTGGAATGTGGATTCTAAGGATGAAAAGGAAGATGGTATATATCTTTACCGCCCGCATTCCGGTCCTATATCTGGCATTTTGCTTCAACAATATTCTATGTCAAAGGTACTTTCAGTTCAAATTTGATGTACTATACCAATACTTTACTTTTGAGTCTATGATTTCAGGTTTACAATTTGCTAAAGGAATGTATATATTGGATGCAGATTTATAGCAGCTGCTATGACGGGTTTATTCGATTAATGGATGCCGAGAAAGAATTATTCGAGCTGGTGCATTCTTCTGATGATACTGTATATTCCCTCTCTCAACAGGCTAATAATTCGGCCAACCTATATTTTGGTGAAGGTCGCGGAGGATTGAATGTCTGGGATATTCGGACCGGGAAATCAAGCAAAAGTTGGATGCTCCATGAAGATAGGATCAACACCATAAGCTTCAACTTGCAAAACTCCAACATTATGGCAACATGTTCAACGGATGGCACTGCCTGCATTTGGGATTTAAGGATTATGAGCACTCGTAAACCCAAAACATTGAGGCTTGTGAGCCATGATAGGGCTGTTCATTCTGCTTACTTCTCACCCTCTGGAAGCTCTCTTGCAACAACAAGGTATTACGTTTTTTCTTCTTCTTAACCCTATAGTTAACTAAAACCCTTTGTCTCAAATAAGCTAAACTTGTTAATTAATAATACCTTTTGCTTGGCAGTAGGTGGTTCTAGGATGGTACCTTGTTTATTAATTGTGTCCTTTTGGCAATAGAAATCATTGCTTAATTTGTTGATATAGTCTGGATGGATGGACACAACAGAAGGAAGCTGAAAGCTCAGCCATAGTATTGTTCTAGTCTATATTACTCGGACTTAGGTGTGAGAGTTCAATACGAGTATCTATCCAACAAGGCTTTGCTTGATTTTTTTAATGTTTTTCTATGTATTTGGAGGCCATATCGCTCTACATCCATGTGTTAGACATGGGTACTTCAAGAAGAATGAAATGTCTAAGAAACATAGGTTCTAGTTGCATATGATCTTCTACAATTAATTTAATGTAAGCAGTATATTATTTGGTTCTGCCTGTTATCGTTTTCTTTTAATAACAGTTTGGACAACAACGTTGGTATAACAAGTGGAGCTAATTTTGAGGACACTTCTATGATATACCATAATAATTGGACCGGCAGATGGATTTCTTCTTTCAGGTACTTCTATGTTGTCAAATAATCTGCTTGATGCTATGATTGTAGTTGACCATGGTTGAGTTCTAATACTATAAATGTTGGTAAGCAGAGGTATATGGGGTTGGGATGATTCGTACATATTCATCGGCAACATGAAAAGAGGCGTTGATGTGATATCTCCGGCACAAAGACAAAAGGTAATGACATTACAGAGCCCAGAAATGTCTGCTATTCCCTGCAGGTTTGATGCACACCCATGTGAAGTTGGGATGCTAGCAGGTGCCACAAGTGGGGGTCAAGTTTATATATGGGCACCGTGTTAGAATAATCTGCTTTTTGTAGGAATCTGTGCTTTTTACTTGCTAGCCAGTTTTTGTTTTATCTGTACTTTTAGCCCATGATATCATATATCTGCTTCTTGTATCTCTTTCTGACTGACAATTGTATGAAGCAGGAAACCGTTGCACTCTACTTTGGTGTATGGACTGTGTTCTATAGTAACTGATATTTACAATTTTTTGGTTATATTTGCATATGTATCTTGGTTTATTGTTTTTTAGATTTCTGTATTTACAAACGAGAAATTCTGTGATTTCATCAAAACATTGTGCACTTTTATGTTTCATCTAATATCTATGAACAGGAAGTTTAGTTTTATCATGAATCTCAACGACTTCATTTCGATTATAGAATACAATTTACATCATTGACCTCTCTTAGCCATATGAGATGCTGATGACCACATCCATAGATAAACTTATGAAATATTTTTTGTCTTCGGATATGGATATGAAGATGTAACATCTGGGGTTGGATTTTTTCTTCGGAAATGATCTCATTAGTGGCTGACTCAAGCAAGCACGGATGGTAATCTCGTTTAAACAAAGTCCAAAACTTGAAAGGGTATTGTTTCTAATGTATGCAAAGAATCAGCGTTTAAAAATCAAGTACATTGACGTGCATAAGCTTGGTTGATTATGGGGGTTCTTTAACCTTAGTGTTTCCGCCAGTAATTCCGTAGTTGAGCCATATGCAATAGAATCTCATCACGTCCTTGATTTGTAACACTGCTGGTCATGATCCACGGCGGCAACGACTGGAAGAAACTACATATCAGCTCCTGAAAGTCGCTCATGTTTTTCTTCGGGCCTTTTTCCACCATTCTTTTTCTTCTTCCGCTTATCGCATTTGGTGAATATCAATGTCATGGGGATCTGCAGAACGATGATTTAAAGGCTGAGTAAACCTATAACATGAAATATCAGCATGCAGTCTAAACTAAAGGATCAAGGGGCCTTTTGCCTTTCATCTCAAGAAGGCGATGTAAGTGCCATATCAAAGTGGGTCACTCACATGTCATATCCTTGTACCCTTTTCCCATTCTTGTTAAGAATGAATGACATTACCTGGTTCTGACTAAGCCAACTAGCATATTCCATGTCAATTTTCTTCGCGGAATGCTAGCATCTATAAGTAGGAAAACGATACTAGCGTTGAACGGTTGATAAAATAGTCTCTGGTGAACTTGACCCAGTCCGTCCGAAGTTCCTGAGGTGCAGATGCATACCTGTTAAAGAGAAAAGTGTAGTCAAACAGTGATCATGCGGAAGTATGCAGCAGCCAAAACCATACTTAGCTCCTGCATAACAGCATAACATCATTTAAGGGAGGACAACCAAAACAGAGGTTAAAAGAGAAACTGGCGTATCGATTACCAACCGGTTCCTCTTAACAAATAAACAAAGATCAGAAACATATGACCGCATAAAAGATTAGATATCGAATACATCGACCCTTCATGGTTTAAAGTTGGAGAAAGTGATTGAATTAAGTCCCATACCACATTATTCATGAGAATGGTACATGATTTCATTTTCTCTAGGACAGTGAACAGCCTCAATAAAAGTAAGTTTCCAACATTCCAACTATACGAAAATCGGGAAGTTTATAACTTGTAGGCGTGTATCTACTCATACAAGGTCTGAACAAAGAGCAGGTTATAGAGGAAGGCCTTTGGAAGGTAAATCATACCCATATCCAGGCAAATCCACCAGGTACCATTCGTCATTGATGCGGAAATGGTTGATGCATTGTGTCTTCCCTACGAACAATAGACATTTACTTGCATCACAATCTGTAAGTTTCTTAGGAATCACACTCGATTATCCATGAAAATCTGTATGTTTTTGTTTATGATCTTGTTTGTTTACTCGCCATTATCATCCCGGTTATCGTAACAATAATGTTATTGTTATTTCAATCCATACAAAACGTGTAAAGTAGTTCATTGCACGGTTTCTAGCTTCTAATAGAGACCAAATTCAACATATCAACATCAACAAAATGCAAACATCTTGCTTTAAGGCAGGCATTTCAAGCTAATAAGACTCTCTAAGAGCAAACATTCCATTAGCCTAAGCAATATATCTATCATAATTTGCTTCAATAAATCAACTTTACCAGGCTTCTTAGACGTGAGAGCAAGGCGTTTCCTTCTAACAAGCGAATTAAGAAGCGAGGATTTCCCGACATTCGACCGGCCGACGAGCGCAAGCTCCGGCAATCCATCGGAAGGGCAATCCTCAGTTCTCACACTGCTCTTCACGAACTCAGCTTGAACCACTTGAGCGTCCCTTGCATACTTGCTCAAAACTACGTTGGACCCTCTCAAGATTCTCGTGCTTAAGTTGGGATCATTGCGAGAAACCTCGGTCTCCGCGGGGACAAACAGCTTGTCCAATGAAACATCGAGCTTGGGCTCATCGGGGGGTGCGAAATCGGCGATGGGTGTCGGCTCGGCCGCTGAAAGAGTGGAGAAGAGCGTCGGGGAAGCGGGTTTGATGATCGGGAGTTTCGGTTTGGGGATGAAATTGAAACTCGGCGGCGGGTTTTTGAACACCAAGTAATGGAACCTTGGAAGCTGAGTTATAACCATAACTGTCGTCTTCACTCTTCAAATTGAATTAAAAAAATTGATGGATTGTTCAACTCTGTTCTTCGTTGAAGTAAGCAAAAGCCCAAACGAAAGCAATGTAAGCTAAATATCTTAGCTGAAATTGTTTAGAGAATACAATAGTCGGACCATTTGGTGTTCCACCATTTGTCCGAAGATGGGTTAATAGGTCGAAACATCTCAAACTATAGTTCAAGTTATATACTGATCCTTTAAGTTATCTATTTCGTTTTAAGGGTAAACTATGAGTATAGTACCTAAACTATTGGGTTCGCTCCGTTTTAGTGCCTAAAGTTTCATTTTTTTCAAAACAATGCCTAACGTTTAGTTTTTGTTTCATTTTAATTCCTCGCTATTTAAAACTTAAACTGTTGATTTTACTGATTTGCACACGACATCTTTTTATGGGAAAATCGTATCACATCACTTAATTATCTTCTCCCTCCTATTTTAGTTATTAAAGTTTATTTTTTTTAATTTAACCACTCTAACTTTCAAATTTAATTTTATTTTTAATTTTATGTTAATAAAATAATAATAAAAATTGTCATGTCACAAAAATTATTAATAAATAAATTAGAGTGATTAAAATAAGAGTAATTTGAAAGTTGAGTAATTAAATTGAAATTTTTTAAAATGTAGTACCAAAATAGGAGTGAGAAGATAGTTGAGTGATGAATGATATAATTTACCCATAAAAGATGCAGCGCCTTAAATATTTAACGACGATGTACTAAATGAAATAAAAACTAAACGTTAAGTATGATTTTAAAGAATTGAAAGTTTAGGCATTAAAACGTACCAAAATTGGTAATTTAAGTACTAAATACATAATTTACCCTATTTAATTAGGCCATTCCAATCTTGGCACGTTAATATAAAAAAACAAAATTAGGGTAAAATTGTCTTGAAGGTATAAATCTTGCTTTCATAATTTATGTTTTACACTATATACTTCGTTTTCTTTCATTTTTATCTTAAAATTGACAAAAAAAAGGAAAAAAGAAAAGAAAAGAGTAAACTTGTCTTGAAGGTAAGACAATTTTGATCTTTTTCAAAATCGTCGGGACTACACGATGAAATTTCCCGTCACTGTAACATTCACATTAATTGTTAGGGTAAATTATGTGTTTAGTGTCTAAGTTATTAGTTTTGATTCATTTTAATACATAAACTTTTATTTTTTTTCAAAATCATATCTAAAATTTAGTTTTTGTTTCATGTTAGTATTTATGTTCAAAATGTAACGTTACAGTTTGAATTTTTTTTAAAAGTTTAGGTACTAAAACTAATCAAAATTAATAGTTTAGGGACCAAATGCGTCAAGTTTTTAACGATAGGTTACTAAAATGAAACAAAAACGAAACGTTAGGTATGATTTTGAAAAAAATTGAAAGTTTAGATATTAAAACGGACCAAAGTTGATAGTTTAGGTACTAAATGTGTAGTTTACCCTAATTGTTAAATAATTTTAAATCAATCTTATTTCCCTAATCTTTTCTAATAGTCTCACAAAAATGATAACGTAATTAAAAATTGAAGAGTCAAACTAATAAAAAAATTAAAAATAATAGAAATAAAAAAATCCCTTTAAATGGCTAAAATAGATATTAAGTCTCAATTAAAACATGCATAAATATAAAATGCAATTAATATATTATATTTATCTCTCACTCTGAACTTATTAATATAATTATTGTCGGTGCTGCTACCTTTCTGTCTAACAATAATTATATATTAGGAAAAGTATTTGTATTTTAGATTTACTAATTTTTTGTATGAAATTTAGATTTACTTTTTGGCTTAATACCACAATAAGTTCCCAAACTATACCGATTTTTCAAATAGGTGCCTAAACTATTTTCTGACTCATTCATGTGTCTAACGTTACAAACGTTATCAATTTAGGTGTTTGGGCTGTTAACGACGTTAATTTCCTCGTTAAGTGACACATTTCACAATCTGATAAATTAAAAAATTTATTTAAAATTTAAAAATTAAAATTATATATATTTTTTGAAAAAAGAAAACACAAATTTTGAAATAAACCAAAAACTTTGAAAACCTACATTTCAACCCTTAAACCTATGTCGGTCGATGGCCTTTGCCGTCGACAAAGCCCCACCCGACCTCCCCCAGTGACCAAAGCCTTATGAAATCGTGGTTGATCGATGACGAATCAACATTTTATGCCCTACAAACCATAGGTTGAAAATTGCGATCCCACGTAATATTTATGGCCAATCGACGGCAATTATGACAACGTATGACTAGGAGGATGGCAGAGAGTACTTTGGTGGCGGTGGCGGTGGTCAGAAAGAGCAGCGACGGTGGATTAAAGTTAGGATTTGGGGATTTTAGGGATTTGGGGATATTTTATAAATTAAGAGAAATTAGTTTTTTTATTAATATAATAGTATTTTTAATAATTTTTTAAAAAAGTAAATTTAAAAAACACCAAATTATGACATGTGTCACTTAACGGGGAAAAATTAATGTGATTGACAATTCGAGAACCTAAATATGTAAAGTTTGTAACGTTAGATATCTGGATGAGTAAAAA